AAAAAAAAAAAAAAATGTGTGTACCAAAATTGGCCACGGACATCTGGTGGGCTGTCCAAAATGAACATCGTAACTGAGGAACAGCGGAGCAGCGAAGCAGCGGAACGGAAGAACCCCAAATGTGGCTCACGGAGACGTAGCTCATGCAGGGTACCATTTGAGGCCATTTTATTAAAACAAATCCCTTGTTGCCTCCGCATATACATGCCCTTCGTGTTAGTAGAGAGGGGGAAGGGACAACCCCCCTTTGGCTCTTAGGAAATTTTACACGCAACACACCCCATCATTTTGTTAATTTTCCTCAGGGAGGAGAATCAAACAAGGATATGTGAGGAGGGTGTATTCAGTCATCATACGGTTTGGGTAATACCCACAGAGAAACTTTTCATCCAACAAGGCCTCCACCTTTTTTTTTTAAGGGGCTCTTTATTTTTTTTTTTTTTTTGTATTCCTGTAACGAAGGGACAAACCAACTATAAAAAAAAATTTCCATTGTCAATCAACAATCACCCATTACCTCTGAAGAATCATCCTGCGTGATGATCAAATGAGTGTATTCGTGGGAGAGAATGAAAAAGTATAACAACTTCTAAGCACATCCCACGAGGGGTAATCCTATTACGCATTGGAGGTTTTCCCCCTTATCTTGGAGAGGTACTTACCCCCCTACACACACAACCCCCCCCAAATGGGAAATTCACTTTTGAAACCATTCTGCGCAACACGCATAACGAGAGGTGTAATTGTGAATACACCTCCACAGGGACGATCGAGTTTACCTCCTCCTGGTCACCACTTCCAAATGAGGCAACCCCAAGTGTGTGTGTGTGACCATTTTAATAAAGGGAAAATTCTGTTTAAACAAAAATTTGCGCAACTTATTGGAAGAGACGGTTAGGACTACTGGGGAAATTCTCCAATCCGGGAAAGGAAACTATGCAGGGGGGTATCTCCATACATAAGCCGCGCGCAAAAAAAAAAAAAAGTACATTGATGTGTATTTCGAGCGACGCACACAAAGCAAATTAGTACACCTCTTGTTTGCCCGTGTGACCCTCCTCCCACTGCCCAAGTCGCGTGGACTAAGTGAACCCTGCTAGGGAACTCTTCACGGAGAATCCGCGCAATGTCAATGGAGCAGCGTACCGCCAGAGAGGAAACAAATCTGAGCGGGCGAGAGTTTCCGAAAACTCGAAAGCACACACGTTTACAGATGGCGCAAAAAAAAAAAACAAAAAAAAAAAAGAGCAGAACGGATTAGTCGCATGTAAGCATGTGCAAGGGGAGTTGTATTTCAATACATTCTGTTTTGCACATCATATGATATCATACCGTATCATAATCAGGTCATGCTTATTTTTTTTATTATTTATTTATTTATTTTTTTTTTTTTTTTTTGCGTCTGTGTAGTTGAGATATAAATCACCCTGCGCAAAAAGGCATCTCCGGGGGAGCAACCAATCACTTTATTTTATTTTTTTTTTATTTATTATTTTTTTTTTTTTTTTTTACCAAAGCCCTAGCATTTCGTCTGCATCCACACAGGGCAGAGCAGCCTGGCCGTGTGCGCTGCTGCCTGTTGAGAAAAAAACATGAGACCAGTGGCAGGAAAATGGTACCTCCTGCGGCGCACAAGAGTTTAGCTCGCCAAAGCAGGACACAACACTCCTCCCTCCACATGTGCCCTTTTGGCTACCCCGACGAGAGCGCACACCCGCAGATACGTATTTACACACATATGTACACCCACGTACGTATGCGCTCATGCACGTACAAACAAGACCCCACCTCTGCAGAAGAGAAGAACAAAGGGACAGCCAAGCTACAGCCACGTCCTTCTTTTTTCTCCCCCCCATCTCATCAACCAAGTGACGAAACGATAACATCATGGCCATCCTGCCGCAGCGCGCTATCCCGTACCTTGTGCTAGCTGGCGCCTTTTTGTACAATCTTAATATAGGTGAGTGAAGGGGAGAAGCGCGTCCTAGTGAGGGGGTACCCCCCCTCTCCCCCGCTAAGCGGTGAACCATAAACCGGGGGAAAAAATGAAGTGTACACCTGTAGCTGTCTAAATTGCACACATGCCCAAGTGTAGTACACCTTGTTTACACTAATATACTTCTCTGTTTCCCCCCCCCCCCCCTTTTACCCCTCGCGCAGGAATTATCAACTCGTATGGTAACCTCAACATATACCTGACCTCCTACCTGCGACACAAAGGACAAAATGTAACCTACAGGGATGTGTCTTTTATATACGAATTGACTGTTATCATGTTGGGGTTATCCATGCTGATTGGAAATGCGGTGCAGAAGAAATTAGGAGAGAGAGTAACCATAATGACATGCTGCTTCATAACTTTTCTTTCCTTTTATTTGTCCTCCTTGTATGCGCACTCGTACTTTATGCTGTGTGTGTTGATGGGGGGGTTGTACGGACTGGGCTATGGAATCAGTTTCACCATCCCACTGTCTTGTACATATAAACATTTTAAAAAGAACCGAGGGTTGGTTAGTGGCATTGTCATCTCTGCAATATCGTTGAGTCCATTTTTGTATTGCCCACTACAGACTCTCCTTATAAATAAGAACAATGTATTGCCCGTGGAGAGCAGTGTAGGTAGCAGTGGTGGACCTAGGGAACGTTACTTCCAAGACCCTTATGTGCTTAGCAGAATCCCTCATGTACTTTTCATTCAATCGATAATCTTTTTAATTTTCGGTACCTGTGGTGGTTTCTTCGCGACCATGGAAGTGACGGGGGGAGATGGTGAAAAGATGCTAAGCATTGGTAATTTTGATATAGGGAATAAGAACAACAAACACGTGGATACACAGGACAAGGGGTTTGTAGATGTGGAGAGGAATGATGAACAGGTGGGTATCACCACAGATAAGAACAAGGGAAACCCAAATGAGGTAGCAAATGAGACAGATAATTTGGGGTCCCGACTAGCCAAATCTTTCAAAAAAAAAAAAAAAAAAAAAAATGGGGGCAGGGATAAATGACGAAGAACGAGAAGATGGAGATGAAGGAATCCCAAATGGAATTAAAAAAAAAAAAAAAAAAAAAAACATTTTATCAATTTCTTCTTAAACATGATAAACGTAAACACAACGATATTTTCCGACAACAATGTGCAAAAGTATTACAACAAAAAGTGTACTGAAGATGTTTTTTTTTTTTTTTTATGGCTATCTGTTGTCTTGTTCAATTCTTATATTAATTTCGTCATCATGTATTGGAAAATCATTGGCATCACTTACACCTCCATGGAAGATAAATTCATCACTCTGAACGGAAGCTTTATTAACAGCATGACCAATATCGCGGGGCGATTGATATGGGGATCCATATATGACAAGCTACAAGTTCGCATGACTATAACCTTGCTAGGGCTTTGCATATGCTGTGCCTGTTTCCTCCTACCAGCCATTTCGCACATATATATTTTGTACGCATTGACGTGCGCCCTCTTTTACTTTTGCATCGGGGGAAGCCTTGTTACCATCCCAATCATCACCCTCAAAAAGTATGGAGAATTACACTTTCCTCTTAATATGTCTATTCTGTACACCACACGCATTGCCAACACCTTCCTCTGTAGTGTGGTCGTGCGACTCTTTTACACCATGTTCACCCTGCGATGTCTGAGCTCGGCTTTCGGCCTCATTTCCCTCATCGCCACAATTGCAATGTTCTTCCTTACGCAGCCGTAGAGGGGGGGGGGGCCGCGCGTGGCGTAGTGTCTATGCTGCTCTTCATGTCCGATTGCGTATCACCTCTTACGCTTTCTATCACCACTTCTCTCTTTTCATCACATCTCCCTTTTCCATTCGTATGGCACCCCTTTTTGACCCTACCTTGGCGCAAGTGCAACTTGGCACAGCTGCAGCAGGGCGGTGCTGTCCTATCCCAGCCGCGTCGCCCCCACGCGTCCCTTGATGGACCAACTTTTTTTTTTCTTTTTTTTCAAAAGCAAACCACTGATGGATGTTTTTAAAACGTTTCTTATGTGTGTGCAGAGGGGCCATTTCACGCGATCACGCAATGGTAGTCATGCAAATGTAGCCATGCAGTCGTGGACCCGCAGTCGCGGAATGTTTTCCCCCCAATTGAAAAAGCCCCAACGGAGCTACTTCTCCCAAGCTATCTGCAACAGGGTGGCCCGCCCATACCTCTCCAGCTCGTTCCTCACAATTTCGTTAATAAGCATCCTACGGAGGGGGGAGGAAGTGATGCGTCGTTACTCACTTAGGATGGTCACATAAGTGGGCCACATAAGCTGGCCACTTGCGCCGAACGTACCTCGAAATTTCTCCAAATGTGGGCCGCATGAACGGGTTCTCGTCGATACAGCAGAGCAGCAGGTTTATCAGGAATTTGTCCTGCCACAGGGGGGAAAAAAGGGGAAGGCGAGAAAGTGGCCGAGAAAGTGGCCCAAAAAATGGCCAAAAAATGGCGAACCAAATTAAGGGGAGCCCCTCGAGACCATTGTCCAGGAACCCCCTTGCAGCCCCCCCCTTTTTACCTGAACCTCAAAATGTTTCAAGTCCACCTTATACCCCCCATGCGAAAAGTAATGAAAATTTTTGTGCTTTAAAAATTTAGACACAATAACTCCAAAGGCCCAAATATCAACCGTCCTGTTATAAGCCACGCTTTTCTGCTCAGGTGCCAAGTGCCCCTTTGTGCCACAACACTGACTCATGAGATATTCGAAGTCTTGGTCGACCTTCCTCGACAAGTTAAAGTCCGTCAGCAGGATCTTCTTCCCCTGCGTTGGGGCAAGCAGTTGTTATGCGGTAGACCCTGTTTATATATATATATATATATATATATATATATATAATGGCCCACCTTTTTGCCGCGTGTGTTTTTAAAGAGGCGCATTTTGAAAGGAGTCCCCAAGTCGGTAATGGCCACTGGGGACAGCACGTGCACCAGGGGTGATGAAGCTGCCGAGCAGGACACACCCGATAATGCACACTGGGCAAAAATGGCTCCATCTTTTCATTTCAACGAACAAATGGCCAACCCGTACCTATGGTGGAAGTCACGTCGCCACACACACGCCACTTACCTTTATCAACACGTTATCTGGCTTCAAGTCCCTATATATGTAAAATTCTTGTTTGGCATTTTGCTTGTGAATGAAGGACATTACGCTAAAGGTGTGTGGGGGGGGGATCATGTGTGAAGATGAGCATACCTACGTAGAGTGACACTACGAGTGGGTAAGTCTGTGTGAGGGGATAAAAAAAAAAGAAGAAACCCATCCTCACAACTTTGTAAGAAGTTTTACGTTGACGAAAAGACAACCCAGCTGCACATTTGCAGTGTCATTTTTTTTGTTATTTTTTTTTTGTGGAACGATTAAACCTACTTGGCTATCTCCAACAGGGTCAGTCTCACGAAATTAAGGTTGTATGCCGCTTCCTTGTCGCAGAACACCTTTTCTGTTCAGTGAGAAAAAGGACGCACACGGGGAGGAATAACAATTGACACGCGTACACATATATATACATATATGTGTGTGTGCGTAATTATATATTGGCGCGATAGTCTACTTCACCACGTATGGACCCTTTTTACACACCAACACGGTGGAGCAACTTTACCTAATGACGTGTCAGCCAGCTGCAGCAAGAAGCAAAGGCACTCCTTCTTCTCCTCCTGGTGCTGCCTGTTCAATAGCACTTGGTACCCTGCAGAGCGCTTGGACAAAAAAAGAAAAATAAAATGAACAATAACGTCTCAATCGTGAACTCCTTTAAAAGGACTCCATTGACGTTTATCACGTGTGACAAGGCGGCCCACTTAGCAGAAGCACAATGCGCGGGTATACCGGCCAGACACACACAAAAAAAAAACTCTAACCCTTGAAAGTGCAGTAAATCTTCACAACATTGGTGTGTGCCTTCTCCCGCAGAATCACAGACTCGTTCAGGTTGAATTCGCTAAAATGGGGAATAAACAAAAAACACATAATGATGCCCTTTTTGCAAACTTTAAAGCTATTCACATGGACAGTGCGCCGTTCATCCCGCTCCCAAAAAAAAGAGCAGGAGGAGGAGGAAGCAAATGAGTGTCCTACTTCATGTCCATAATTTTCAACGCAAAGTGCGTTGTGTCTTTTATGCTCGGAAAGAAAAATGAGGTCTGAGGTTCTTTATCCTCCTTCAGGGACACATCCCACACTTCGCCAAATCCACCCATTCCCAACTTTTTCTCAAACGTGAAGTACTCGTCTATGTTTACAACCTCGTGGTGGCGCTCCCATATTCTGCAGCGGCGAGAGACAGTGTATGCGTACGTGTTTCCGTGCGTGTGGCGACACTCCCTCCCCAGCGCCAACACAACGGCAGAACGGTGAGATGCCCCCACACACACAAACGCATGAACCGCTACGAAGACTTACTTCAAAAAAAAAGTATCAATATATTCAAGAGGCATTTTTACATTACTGGTGAAGCTCGAAATTAATATCTTTGACTGAGCACTTGAGGTTGTTTTCGTTTTTGTCTTCTCCTCCCAAAAGAGGGGAATAATGCACTCGGGAATATTTTGCTCTTTGGTGTTTTGAAGTAAAAAAAAAAAAAAAATTTTTTTTAACACATGAGGGGGCAATGGCGCTTCGAGAAACGCATTAATGATGAACTGATCGCTGCGGCACCTGTAAGGGATGGAACTAAGACGAGATTGAAGTACTTGATCCTCTGGTTCTTCACGTAACGCACAAATCTGCAAGGGATGTCCACCGAGTCGCAAAGCAACTGCAGGAGGTCCGGGTGAAGAGGAGTCGCGTTGTATAAAAGTGTGTCGTAGTGGCGACATAGATTAGAGGTGTTTCTCTCGTGGGCTTTTTTTTTCTGTGCCTATGTATGCTTGGTGGTGGTGGTAGTAATATACGTGTTGCAGGAAGTGGGGCGGGGTATTGACACTATTACGAGGGAATATACAGCTTCATCACCACACCACCCCCGAGCAACTCCTCAAACAGGGGACACTGCTCTCCTTACCTTGAACAACAAAGACCTGTGCCGATCGGATCCCTTTTTTACACTTCCCAGGAACACAAAATTAAAATCGTAGTTCTCGTAGTAGTGCGTTTTTATGCTTTCCTCGCTTTCTGCATCTGAGTCTTCTTCGTCACCTGCCCCGTCCGCATCCTTCTCCTTCTCATTCTGCTTGTCCTTTTTTTTTTTTTTTTTTGCCGATTTTCTGAGGAGAATATTTCAGAGAATGTCCTTTCACGAGTGTCACAAGGATTTGAAGTGGCCATGTCACCGCTCTTCAGTTGGGTGTTTTCCTCCTCCGGCAGTTCTGCTTCCACTTGAGAGCGCTTCCTTTTCACTTGGCTTCTATCCCTCTCCTCCTCATCTGCTCTACGTTTGTGTATCTCTTGGCTTGCGCTCTTGGGGAAAGTTTCCCCCCCGTCGCTACACATGACATTTTCAGGGTCGTACTTGATCATCCTTTCCACCAAATTTTCTATTCTTTTAATTTTAACCAAAGCATTTTTAACACTCTTAACTTCCTTCTTTGCCATGTTAACCTTTTCCCTGTGCAGAGGTGTCATCGAGGAGGGGTATAGTTGGTGGGGTCTTCCCCTTCATACAGAAAAATGCCAAGTAGACACAGATACACTTGTGCGCACACAGTAGTAGGCCCAACTCGAAAACGTACACTGCATCGCCCTCAATGCTGCTACAACAAATGAAGAATATGCTCATAAAGCCCTACCGAAGTTTGGCGTCACTGAATACGCTTACAATGATGCTGGAGGGGCAGGTGCAAATATCAGTGTCGCTGCTTCTACACATATTCCGACCCTTCATGTACCTCCCAATGCACTTGGAAATATACTTGGGCATTTTTTTTTTTATAAAAAATAAATCACAACTCCCAACATCGTAAATGGATTTCTCTCTAAAGCATGAGTGTAACCCTAGGTGTACATTCGGGACGGGGATTTCTCCCACCAGTTTTTTTTTTCTTTTTTTTTTTTTTTTGCATTTGAAGTTTAATTTGTGTCCGCTGTTTGTAATTACAAAGTTTCGTGTGTCCACTTCGCTGTTCAGTTGGCCGCTCATTTTGCTGTCCACTTGGCCATTCACCACGCGGGAAGGATTCGCCCCTTCGGCGGGCGAGTCACTGTTGGGAGGCCGTACCTCCTTCACGAAGCTGCTCTCCCCCTTCATCCGAATGCCGTGTGTGTAGAGGTAGATTAGCCTCAGATCCTTCACATCCACCGCGTCCTTCACAAGGCCTGCAGTGCCAGGGGGAAAAAGCACACGCGCCAATATAAACCTATACACGTGCGTGCGTATGTAGGTGTGTGTGTGTGTGCGTGTGCACGTGCTTGCGCGCCCACCTCCTGACTCGAAAAAAGTCCTCCTGGTATGCATGAGATTGTCGTAAAAGTCTAACATATGTTCCCGCCCATATTTATAATTTAAGTTTTCTTCGCACAGTCTGATTTGGAGAAACTCGATGAGGTGTAAGACCACTTGGTTGTTCTTCACTTTTTTTTTTCTTTTCAATTTTTCAACAAAGCTCAACACTAAAAAATTTATTTCGTTCATATTTTCTATCAGGTATTTCAGCCCCATGATGATATCACCTACGTCTCCGTTGAGGTACAGCAGGGCCTCGAAAGTGGAGAGAAGTGGTGGGGGAAATGAGTCCTCTTTTCCACATCGTTCGTAGTTTCACAATTTGCATGAGTGTGGTCACACAGGGGGACAAAAACAACTACCATCATCACACTCAACGGAGAAAAAAAAAAAAAAAAAAACGAAATGAAACGGGACGGAATAACACTTTTCCCCTTTCGGCGTGCCTATTCGAGTGGTACCATTGATATTTCGTTATAACAAGACGCATACGGGGGGAAATACAAATGGAAAGCGTTCATGGAGAGTCTCTTTATAAATTCCTCCGTCGGGACTTTAATTTTCCTTTTTAATAGCACATCGTCCGAAACGAACACACAGGCGCTCTTAACTATTTCTTCCCCTCTCTTTAAATTCTACATGCGGACAAACCAGAAAAAAAAAAAAAAAAAAAAAAAAAAAAAGAAGCGGCGAGTTAGACCATCCGTCCCATTTACTGCATTGCGTTGAACTATCATCATTTGTACATGGCGTAACTGAGCTGATCTAAATATAACTTTGGCCAAATTATATTTCTTTCTTTTCCGTGCAGCTTTCCCTTTCGGCCTGCACCTCTTCGAGTATAACTCCTCCATATGCCTATGCTGCCCGCAAAGGATGTATTACTATTTCTGGGTTTGACTTCAGCTTCCGCAGCGTGTCTATGTGGGTCCTGTGTATGTTTTCCGCTTCTGCATGTTGGTTCTTCCGTGGGGGTACAACTTTATCGCTCTGTTCATCTTTACACTTTTCATTTCCCCTGTTGGCACTGCTTAACTGCCCTTCCTCTCTTTGTGCTTCTTCTCTTATCATGCACTCACCGTGATCGCTGCGCATGCCACTGGCACCATCGTTGAGGGCTCCCCAAACAGCGCTGTCTTTACGCGTGCTCGAGCAGTCCTTCATTTGATAAGGCGCCCATTGAGGCCGTTTTTCGGAGCTGAATCGTTACCTCCTCGCTATTGCTACCCTATCACCACTACTATCGTTACTGCCCTGCTGTTACCGATTCGATGTACGTTTCTTTTCTGTCTACTCCCTTCTTACTACACCATAGGGGGGGGCATGAACAGCTCCTTTGCATATTCGTGCAACGTAACTTTAATTAAAAGGAGTCTTTTTTGCCTAACCTCACTTATGCCGCTTGAGAGGAATGTTCAACAAAAAAAGGTACCTCCCCCTGCAGCACCTTTGCGCTGCTCGCTCACGTTTTCGTGGACATAATTCGGTTTACGAAAAAGAGTTTATCTTAAATTAGAAAAGGGTAGGCGCACAAATGGAGAGATGGCAAAATGGCGTCGCGAGATTGCAGAAGGGCAAAGGGGCAATCCGCCTGCCTATGTACCTTATTGCCCTTTTTTTTTTTTTTTTTTTTTTTTCCGAATGGAAACAAGAAATGTGTGCAAATGGCCCTCGCGTCAATGTCGCCCATCCACAGGAAATTTTCTCCGTCTCTATGCGTTGGCCGAAGCCGTTTCGAAAAGGAGTATGTCCCTTTTCATTTTTCATTGTTTATCTACTTCATAGCATTCTCCATTTTTTATTTCCCACCATGAGTGATGAGGAATCGTTGGGATGCACTTATTGAGCGGGTGACGCTTACTCTTCTCCAACGAAATAATTCCACCTCGTTTGTGTTCGCATGGGGCCAAACATAAGGTACAGGCACTTCCGAATGGAGTATTCTACATTCATATTTTTTTGCCAAGGTACAACAAACGTTGTTCTTAATTATATATGCTTAGAGAATCCAAGAGGGAGTTGCGTTTCCCAGGGATGTTTCACCTGCTGGGGGCTTATTATTATTTATGAACGGCCAATTCAAAAATAGAAAAAAAAAAAACACATTATGGACATGAACTACACTTCCACATATATGCATAACCTCACGGAGGTACAGAAACAAAGGCTCATATTGTCTAACACTTAAACATGCGTGTGCAAATGAGTACAGTTATAAGGCTTTCACCCCCCCCTCCAACACACACACCTATACATACACAGGTGTTTACAAAAACCTTAAACGATTCACCAACAGTACGGGGGGGGAAAATTCCTGGTTGTCACTTAAAAAATTAAAAACAGTTCGGTATTGAGAAAAAAAAAAAAAAAAAAA